TTTTGGGTGAATTTTGATCATGTGGGGGGGCTGAGTGACCTCAGAATGACCTAAAAATATTATTTTAATATCTAAAAAACCGAAGCAGCCAAACAAAACTTTTTACAGCACAAACCAGCACAAACGGAGCACAAACGATTGAGCATATTTTGACGACGTTTTGCGTTGGGTGGGGGGCCAACTTCACACAGGTTTGTTACCGTTGGTTGGTGTGGTATTAGTCCCGCTCCTCCTCCACTGTGATTGGATGGCTGGGTAAAAATTGACAGTGATGAGCGTTGCGTTTTATCCAAACATTTTTCAACTCTCGCGACCGGAAAAAAAATGCCAGGCATTTAGCACTTCAGTGTAAAGAAAAAAAATAAAACGCTCAGCGCCTCGTTACACTCATGGGGTCTAAAAAACGTGGCGCTCCCATTGAAAACATACGCCAGGCACGTGGAAAAATGCTTTGGTGGACACACAGCTTAAAGAAAATGCTGTACTTTCAAAGTCAAAGAACCAATTTTTTTATTTACCCTTGAATTGTAAACAGTCAGAGACTGTTCAAACTGCATGCAGCTATGATGCTGTACTGAAAATTACACCAATCAGAGAATCAAAAAACTCTTTAGCTCCACCTACTCCCACATCCACTGTGGATGTGCATAATTTATGCATATTTTACAATAAACCTAAAATATGTTTTTCATACATATAATCAACGTTTGTTAGTAAATGATTGGTTTTAAATTTTAATACCCCCAGAGATTTAAAGGGTGACCAATAGTAATGATTTATAAAAAAAAGAAAAAAGAAAAAAAAAAGATGACAAATGGAGAAACGAGGTTTCCGACAATGGAGTAATGATTGATTGGTATTGATGGTCATACTGTGAAAGTGTGAATCACTAATATCAATTAACAAAGTATTGTGCTTCTCTAGTCTTAAGTCATTAAAAAAAATCTTTTATATGTAATAGAGTGATGGTTATCTGTTCTTCACCTCCTATAGGCATGAACCAACGCAATGGCACTGATGTAGATGCAGGAAACGTAATGAATGTGTTTCGAAAGCTTGGATACTCTGTGAAAGTTTATAATGACCAAACAGTAATGCAGATTAAGCAGGTTTTAACAGCAGGTATGGTGTATTCATTTTACACATTCGTTACCTTTAATGAATTCTTATATCCTGTTCTCTATATCCTGTCTGTTTTCTTGTTATTGCGATCAGGGCATTAAGTAATTATTTAAAAAGTGTGTTAATGTTCTAACTGAGAAATTACCAAATTAGTTTGAATCAGCTGCCAATATTGATCATAATACTTTTTATACAGTTTGAAATTTTGTAACCAATTGTAACATGACTGTTTGTTGTTCTCTCAGTCGCCCGTGACGACCACAGTCGCTGTGCATCATTTGTATGTGTGATGCTCAGTCATGGAGACGAGGGGGTGTTTTATGGCACTGATGGCTCTCTGGAGCTAAAGTCCTTAACTAGCCTGTTCAGAGGAGACCGCTGCCCATCGCTAGTGGGAAAGCCTAAACTTTTCTTCATACAGGTACCTCCTCAATCTCTGCTGTCATCTTATGTGTGTGTGTGTGTGTGTGTGTGTGTGTGTGTGTGTTGATGTTCATAATGAGCTGGCTCAAAGTGCTAGTTTTCCCTTGCTGTTTTTCTCTAGGCTTGTAGAGGTACAGAGCTGGATCCCGGTGTGCAGACTGATTCCAGTAGCAGCTCAGATGGTCCAGTGAGGATCCCTGTGGAGGCAGACTTCCTTTATGCGTACTCTACAGTACCAGGTGCAGACACACAAAGCACACAAATGTTTTCTCTGAGTATCAGATTAAATATTCACAAACATAATGAATTTACACTACCGAATCAGCATATTGAAAAGGACTAAAAATAGATGTGTGCGAAAATGTATTTTGTTGCACATTTTTTTTACAAAACATTTTTTAAACAATGACGCCGTCTCTGTGGTGAACCAATGTTGTCTGTTGGAAAAAAAAAAAAAAAAAATCATGTGATCCATACAAATGTGCCTTCTAGACAGTACTAGACTAGACAGTACTAGAGTTATTGGGATGGGAATTTTGTCTCATTTTGGAATGGGGCGTGTCCGTCCGATGAAAATAAATGTTGACAAAAAATATATATATTTGTATAATGTAAATAATCTGGAAAAGCGGTTATAAAAATCGAGTGTCTGTAGACCTCTCAGCACTGCAATAAACACAGCTCATTCCATTAACTCCCAGCCCCTCCCTTCTCGGCTCCTTCCAAAGCCACGCCCCCAAAAGACATGAATGCGCAATGCTGACTGCTCCGCTGAAGGAAGTGTTTACATAAAGACAACAACATATGCAACATATGCAAAATGCATATGCAAAATGCAACACAATGACATAGGTAAACAAATGTAGAGCATATAACAACAATCCAAACGTGAAAAAAATGGAGCAGGTAGATTCCACGGTGAAAATAGGAACAAATTTTAGGCAGAGGGTAAAGCTAGGTATAAAAATAGATCCCCTAAACTAAAAAAAAAACAAAAACCTAAAGTTAGATTTGGTGAAATTAAACAAAACAGCTTTCAACTGCAGATATGCCTATTGATTATTTATCGTCTCAACCCTGGTTCACTAACAGTAACGTTATACCAGTCGACACCAAAGTTACACTGTCATAGCTAAGCCAGTGGAACGTTAGATAGCTATATTAGGTAGCTACGTGTGCTAGTGATGCATGCTTCATGAAAAAATAAATGCCATCAAAATGAAAACAACAAGATTACCTGTCCAGCAGAAATAAAGCCATCTTGGAGTCACTTTTTAGCCCCTTGAGATCCTCAATTTTTTTTCGCCACCGCTGGAAAGCCACACTGATATTGACTCGTATGATTTCTTGATTTATCCAGAGACTTTTTGTTCATAGCCTTTTCAAATACTGTCTTCCTTTTTTTTTAAACTTGTTTGACTTCGCTGCATCTATGCTTGTACTGAGAATTTGGGCTGCTCCTGTATAGAGGTGGTATCCATGGTAGCAAGGGAGAGTGACAGTCGCCTAGGGATGGGACGGTATGAAAATTTCATATCACGATTATAGTGTCCAAAATAATCGTGATTATCAATATTATCACGGTTTTGTTAAAAATTTATGAAAGTGCTCAAAAAGAACTGATGCTCACTGAAAACATTTCAACAAGTTTTTATAATTGAAAATCAACAAACAACAAATAAAACAAGTCTCTCTATGCAGTTTTTTAAGCAATATTCTATTCTATGGCATTTGCTTCTTTATAATGCCCGTCGTCAATAGCAACGCATTATTACACAGCGCACATCCATATCACAACGGACACGCGCTCTTGTTTTATTCAAATACAACTTGCCGTCTTGCGTCTCCGGTTTTTGATTGTATTGCAAAAATGAAATCAGAGTTGATTTATTGTTTACAGAGTTTGATAATATTGGTGTGATATATCTTGTCTGGACGATTGTTTTACAAAATGAATTCATAAACAGGTAAGATTTAAAACATTAGCTAATCTCATTATCAATTCAAAATGTCTACGTAATTATGTGGTAAAAATAAAATCGGTTTAATACGTGATGTATCTATACTTTACTATCCCTTAAAATATCACTCTTAATAATAGTCTTGTTTGAAGTTGTTCGTTCGTCTTTGGCTCAAATCCACTTGCTACGAACTTTTCTTCGCGGAAGCTTGACGTCTATTTCAAGTGAGTGACATGAAATGTTTCAACTCAAAACAACATTTCGTGCCCAATTGTTTCCCAGACGTAGTTTTGGTATTGATGTCAAAGTTAACTTGCCTTGCGTTCGGGTGATGATCACACAAGACGACTCGGCAGATTTGAAGTGTTTCTATTGCAGTGACTTTTTGTTCGGCAGACAAGGTGACCATCCTCGATTAAGTTTCCCTCAGGACTTTTGTAAAACCCAAAATATGACCACACCTCCGATTTGGTCCTCTTAAAAGGCTGAAAAATCTCCTGAGCACGGCCACTGCCTTCCGCCATTCCTTCTCGAATAGTAATTTAAAAAAATATTGCGTGCTGCGCGCCTGCGTCAGACTGGCCGACAGGATTCAGTGAGTTATTAAAATCGCGATAATCAAACACGGTTTTAATGATAATTACATTTTAAACGATAATACTAACCGTCAGTACATTTTATCACGGTTTATAGTGAAACCGGTTATCGTCCCATCCCTACAGTCGCCCCAGCCAATCATGTCTTTCATCCCAAATGGAATAATGAGCTGTGTTTATTACAGTCCTGAGAGGATTACAGACACTCGATGTTTATAATTTCTTTTCCAGAGTACTTACATTTTAATTATGCATTGATTTATAGACAGTTTAAACAAAGTTTTTGGGCAATTCTACCCTGTCTTTAAATAAAATGTTTACTGTTAAATAAAAAAATAACACTGAGAAAGTAATAACACATATCACCAATGATTTTTGCCTTTCTAAAAGGAAAATGGCCATCTCAAATAACCCAATCATAGTCAGTAGGCTAATGTTGCACATTCCATTTGAGCTGAAACTGAAGAGTGAATGAACGGTTGGTAAACTGCTGTGTTTTGCTAGCTGGTTATTAAACTCAACCAAAAGCTTCTTATTTGAGATTAATCAGATATAGGCATCATATAAGTAATCGTACAATTTACATGTGCACAAAAGGACGCCAATGCGTGCATGAACTTGATCGTACTGGTCTGATGTTGTGGACTCGTCTTCAGCACGCTGAAAAACTAAATCACAAAGAATGTACAACATTCTATCACAATCATGTTTTCATTATAATGTCAGGCTATGTATATGATAGATTGGTGCTGCACACTAATTTCGCCAGTCTGGAAGGCGTGCTGTCTAACAAATCAGACCTCAGGAATCGCCCCAAATGCCACAATAACCAATTAGAAAAAGAGATTGTATTTTTTTTTTTTGGGGGGGGGAGATCATCATTTTGTTCGTAATAAAGCATTCAGTTTGTTCATAATGAAGCAGCAGTCTGTAGTGTACATGAGTCTTGTTGTCACAGACAGGAGATTCACAGAGTTTGTCTCGTCACGCTTGAATGGTTTAAAAGCATTTGCATGAATAAGGGGTGTGATTATATAATGTAACGCTAGCTAAAAGATGGCGGGAGAAAAACGAATTCTTCATTAATTCCATTAAATATTTTGAACATGTTAAACTGATAACATTAATTCCTAATGTATTTTTTTCTCTGTCAGGTTACTACTCTTGGAGAAACACCATGACCGGTTCGTGGTTCATTCAGTCTCTCTGTGAAATGTTAGCAAAGTATGGCAAAGAACTTGAGCTCATGCAGATCATGACCAGGGTCAACAATAAAGTAGCGTACGACTTTGAGTCGACCTCCAACATGCCTGACTTTGACGCTAGGAAACAAATCCCCTGCATTGTCTCAATGCTCACTAAAGAGATGTACTTCAACCCTTAAAGGTACAAGCGAACTTTAAAGCATATGATATAGATTTAGGGGTTGAGTTTAAAAGTGTAAGACCATTTTTACATACAGTAGGGATAGGGAAACTGTTTTTCAAATCTACTTATTTACCAGAAGCATTAGCTGAACATGCATAGCTTGGGATTTCTCTCCCAGGACTGTTATTGTTGATGTTTTCCCTAACAAGTCTAATTGGAATTTAAAGTTTTGTACGTAAAATTAGGTGCTCAGGTCTTTTACATCTTTTGAGTAAATACCATTTAATTGTTACCTGCCACTGGTTTTCTTATAAAATAAAATAAAATAATGAATTTAAAAAAGGTGGCAGATTTATAGAAATCAGGGATTTTGACAAACTGTAATGTGTAATTGCACTAGTTTGACTAAAAGGGAATCATAGGTGGGCATTAAATCAGTTAAAAGCAATGGACGGTGAGATTCCTCTAAATTGAAGGGAAACCAGTGTGCCTGTTTTATTGTGAAAAGCAAACAACAATCAGAAGTATTTCTGATGCCTCTCACTGAGCCATGTTAACAGATTTTGATAACTTCTAAAATGTAATATGTAGTTTTCCATGGAGACACAATAAATGCATTATTTACAGATATACTTTGTTACATGAAGCTGTGGAAGGTAGAAGTGACATCCAGTCCACTACCACAGAAAAATGTGTACAAGTCTGTGGGGCAACACTCTTTTTGTTGTAATGGTCAGCATCAGTGACCTGAGAAAAACACTGTCATGAAGACTTTTTTTCCGTTGAGGTTATGCATGCATTGTGTATGTGATGAATTTCTAATTATGCATACATGAAAAAAACACGTTTCATGTTTATTGTACAATCATTAATATATGATGTTTCTTTATGTAATTAAACAGCTCTGTGGTGGACTGGGTGATTGGTCAAGATTTAATTGAGATTCTGAGAGTTTGTGTTATCGACATTTCAAAATTATTCAGTATTGAACAGGCATTTTTTTGAAATTGAAAAATCTGAAAAAAAGACTGATGGTTGGAAATTATAGAGACAAATTGCATCTATAATGAGTGTTTGTTGGCTCTTATTATAATCTCAAATATTTTGATAGGTTGTGAAAACATGTTTTTCTGCTCCCAGTGTCTGAAAGCCAGTAAACCAGTTTCCTGAATTATAAGAAAGGTGTTTGCTTTTAGAAAGTTTGTTCAGGTATATCAATCGTCTTAAGGTCACAGGTAACAGCAAGTGACAACGTAATTGTAAACTAAAGAAAGGTGTTTCTCATCCATTCATTAAATCATATGCCTCATTGTCTTTTCAGTTTCATTCATGAAAATAATTAGCCATTTGCCTTGGACTCTTAGTAGCAGGCAATAGAGTAGACCTTTATCTACACTTCATATTGTAATCATGGAATCTTTTTTCCCCATATTACTATTATTTTTTTTATATATAAAATAACACCAATGAAAGAAATATTGGGAAAATTATTTAACCACAAAAATTATATATTTTTTTTTTCAAAAGCAGTGTTAATATTTCATGTTCATATATATATATATATATATATATATATATATATATATATATATATATATATATATATATATATATAATCGAACTCAATATGAATTGCTCTTCTCACTCTCATGCAAGTTCATTCCCACTATCTGTAAAAGAGAAATGTAGTTATGCTTAGTAATTATATTACTACAAACACCTGCAAATACAAAAAAAAAAAATGGGACACTACAAGTTGTGAGTAAAAAAGGAGTCTTTTACAAATCTCATAAACTTATAATTCATTCACACTAGAATATAGATAACATAGCAAATGTTGGAAGTGTGACATTTTGAAATGTCATGCCAAAATATTGGCTCATTTTGGATTTTTCATGAGAGCTACGGCAGTATGGCAGAGGCGATTGCGTGTAGAATTGGTCAACATCCGGGTATCTCTCCACTGGAGCGTTTAACGCAAATGTGTAAGTTTTTGAGGGGGTTAAACCGTGACATCTACACGTTTTCCAAAGCGGACCAACGTGATTATTTCACGTCTTGTCGTGATACTGGGTTGGGCACTGAAGTTACAGGAGTTTCTTCCCGTTGCTATTAAGCAACGGAAGTAGGTCGAGTATTTAAAAGGTTATGGTTAACGTGGTTTAACGTCAATATAATACGTTGTTTTAGCGTAGGCCTACCTTTTGCTTAAACGAGGAGCTGGGGGACGCTAGAAAAATAGACATTTGGCTGCTTCATTAAAAACGTGACATTTCTAAACATCTAAAGACGTTTTCTTCAGCATGGATCAAGGCAAATGAATCATTTTCACCTTGAAAATAATACGTGTTTTTTGCATTTTAAATAATAGAACATTTCTCAGTGATCGTAAATAAAAAAAACAAATAAATTTTTCTCGGTTTAATGAAAACCAATAGGTCGTTACCCAGACAGCAAACTGACATTGAATCAACGTGAAATGGACGCCTCTCATGACATCGAAACAGCGCTAGACCCTACCGGAGATATTGAGATATTTATGGCATAAATGCTACGTGGGATCTCAATATCTCAGCTCTGGAAGGGTCTAGAGCCTCAATTTTTGCACTCAGGTCTAAGTCTCATGGCCCTCTATCAGAATCCAGAGTTTCAAGAAGATCAGAGAAACTCAAAATTTCGACCCCAAAAAAACCCGACAGTGTTACCCCTTTCGTTTTTTTTTTTTTTTGTGCAAAAAAATAAGTTTCTCCAATCTTCTTGAAACTCTGGATTCTGATAGAGGACCATGGGATTTAGACCTGAGTCCAAAAATGGAGGCTCTAGTAGACCCTTCCAGAGCTGAGATATCGAAACTCAAAAATTCAACCCGAAAAAAAAAAAAAAAACGACAGTGGTACCCCTTTCGTGGTTTTTTTTCGGGCGAAAAATTTAATTTCTCCAATCTTCCCAAAACTCTGGATTCTGATAGAGGGCCATGAGACTTAGACCTGAGTGCAAAAATGGAGGCTCTAGCCCCTTCCAGAGCTGAGATATCGAAACTCAAAAATTCGGCCCGAAAAAAAAACGACAGTGGTACCCCTTACGTTTTTTTTTTTTGGGCGAAAAATTAAGTTTCTCCAATCTTCCCAAAACTCTGGATTCTGATAGAGGGCCATGAGACTTAGACCTGAGTGCAAAAATGGAGGCTCTAGCCCCTTCCAGAGCTGAGATATCGAAACTCAAAAATTCGGCCCGAAAAAAAAAACGACAGTGGTACCCCTTACGTTTTTTTTTTTTGGGCGAAAAATTAAGTTTCTCCAATCTTCCCAAAACTCTGGATTCTGATAGAGGGCCATGAGACTTAGACCTGAGTGCAAAAATGGAGGCTCTAGCCCCTTCCAGAGCTGAGATATCGAAACTCAAAAATTCGGCCCGAAAAAAAAAAACGACAGTGGTAACCCCTTACGTTTTTTTTTTTGGGCGAAAAATTAAGTTTCTCCAATCTTCCAAAACTCTGGATTCTGATAGAGGGCCATGAGACTTAGACCTGAGTGCAAAAATGGAGGCTCTAGCCCCTTCCAGAGCTGAGATATCGAAACTCAAAAATTCGGCCCGAAAAAAAAACGACAGTGGTACCCCTTACGTTTTTTTTTTTGGGCGAAAAATTAAGTTTCTCCAATCTTCCCAAAACTCTGGATTCTGATAGAGGGCCATGAGACTTAGACCTGAGTGCAAAAATGGAGGCTCTAGCCCCTTCCAGAGCTGAGATATCGAAACTCAAAAATTCGGCCCGAAAAAAAAACGACAGTGGTACCCCTTACGTTTTTTTTTTGGGCGAAAAATTAAGTTTCTCCAATCTTCCCAAAACTCTGGATTCTGATAGAGGGCCATGAGACTTAGACCTGAGTGCAAAAATGGAGGCTCTAGCCCCTTCCAGAGCTGAGATATCGAAACTCAAAAATTCGGCCCGAAAAAAAAACGACAGTGGTACCCCTTACGTTTTTTTTTTTTGGGCGAAAAATTAAGTTTCTCCAATCTTCCCAAAACTCTGGATTCTGATAGAGGGCCATGAGACTTAGACCTGAGTGCAAAAATGGAGGCTCTAGCCCCTTCCAGAGCTGAGATATCGAAACTCAAAAATTCGGCCCGAAAAAAAAACGACAGTGGTACCCCTTACGTTTTTTTTTTTTGGGCGAAAAATTAAGTTTCTCCAATCTTCCCAAAACTCTGGATTCTGATAGAGGGCCATGAGACTTAGACCTGAGTGCAAAAATGGAGGCTCTAGCCCCTTCCAGAGCTGAGATATCGAAACTCAAAAATTCGGCCCGAAAAAAAAACGACAGTGGTACCCCTTACGTTTTTTTTTTTGGGCGAAAAATTAAGTTTCTCCAATCTTCCCAAAACTCTGGATTCTGATAGAGGGCCATGAGACTTAGACCTGAGTGCAAAAATGGAGGCTCTAGCCCCTTCCAGAGCTGAGATATCGAAACTCAAAAATTCGGCCCGAAAAAAAAACGACAGTGGTACCCCTTACGTTTTTTTTTTTTGGGCGAAAAATTAAGTTTCTCCAATCTTCCCAAAACTCTGGATTCTGATAGAGGGCCATGAGACTTAGACCTGAGTGCAAAAATGGAGGCTCTAGCCCCTTCCAGAGCTGAGATATCGAAACTCAAAAATTCGGCCCGAAAAAAAAACGACAGTGGTACCCCTTACGTTTTTTTTTTTGGGCGAAAAATTAAGTTTCTCCAATCTTCCCAAAACTCTGGATTCTGATAGAGGGCCATGAGACTTAGACCTGAGTGCAAAAATGGAGGCTCTAGCCCCTTCCAGAGCTGAGATATCGAAACTCAAAAATTCGGCCCGAAAAAAAAAACGACAGTGGTACCCCTTACGTTTTTTTTTTTTGGGCGAAAAATTAAGTTTCTCCAATCTTCCCAAAACTCTGGATTCTGATAGAGGGCCATGAGACTTAGACCTGAGTGCAAAAATGGAGGCTCTAGCCCCTTCCAGAGCTGAGATATCGAAACTCAAAAATTCGGCCCGAAAAAAAAAACGACAGTGGTACCCCTTACGTTTTTTTTTTTGGCGAAAAATTAAGTTTCTCCAATCTTCCCAAAACTCTGGATTCTGATAGAGGGCCATGAGACTTAGACCTGAGTGCAAAAATGGAGGCTCTAGCCCCTTCCAGAGCTGAGATATCGAAACTCAAAAATTCGGCCCGAAAAAAAAACGACAGTGGTACCCCTTACGTTTTTTTTTTTGGGCGAAAAATTAAGTTTCTCCAATCTTCCCAAAACTCTGGATTCTGATAGAGGGCCATGAGACTTAGACCTGAGTGCAAAAATGGAGGCTCTAGCCCCTTCCAGAGCTGAGATATCGAAACTCAAAAATTCGGCCCGAAAAAAAAAACGACAGTGGTACCCCTTACGTTTTTTTTTTTGGGCGAAAAATTAAGTTTCTCCAATCTTCCCAAAACTCTGGATTCTGATAGAGGGCCATGAGACTTAGACCTGAGTGCAAAAATGGAGGCTCTAGCCCCTTCCAGAGCTGAGATATCGAAACTCAAAAATTCGGCCCGAAAAAAAAACGACAGTGGTACCCCTTACGTTTTTTTTTTTGGGCGAAAAATTAAGTTTCTCCAATCTTCCCAAAACTCTGGATTCTGATAGAGGGCCATGAGACTTAGACCTGAGTGCAAAAATGGAGGCTCTAGCCCCTTCCAGAGCTGAGATATCGAAACTCAAAAATTCGGCCCGAAAAAAAAACGACAGTGGTACCCCTTACGTTTTTTTTTTTGGGCGAAAAATTAAGTTTCTCCAATCTTCCCAAAACTCTGGATTCTGATAGAGGGCCATGAGACTTAGACCTGAGTGCAAAAATGGAGGCTCTAGCCCCTTCCAGAGCTGAGATATCGAAACTCAAAAATTCGGCCCGAAAAAAAAACGACAGTGGT